TCGATCCTTTAGGTCTCTTATCTCCTTGCACTATATTGATTGAAATATTCGATCCTTTAGGTCTCTTATCTCCTTGCACTATATTGATTGAAATATTCGATCAAAAGCTATGGTTAGTTAAAGGCGACTGGGATTCAGTTGTTCCCCAGCATATCTCAGATGATTGGTTTAAATTTCAAGAGACATTCAGTCAAATCAATAATTGTGAATTTCCGAGATGTGTCGTACTTACAACGGACAGTGTTATCTAACTACATGGATTTTCTGATGCATCTTCGCAGGCTTATGCAGCAGCCATTTACTGTCGCCAAAAGTGCAATGGTACGGTTAAGGTTAATCTTTTGGTATCAAAGACTAAAGTCGCGCCTATAAAGCAAGTATGCATTCCTCGATTAGAACTCTGTGCTGCGTATTTGTTGACCAGATTAATGCGATCTCTATTGAACATTTAAAGAAGTTTGATTTTGAAATCTTTGCGTGGACGGATTCCAAGGTAGTTCTGTCTTGGCTATCAGATCATCCACGTAAGTGGATAACATTTGTGGCAAACAGAGCATCTCAAATCATAGAAGTGATACCTATTAAACATTGGAATCATGTTCCCTCGAAACAGAATCCTGCAGACATTGCTTCTCGTAGTATTGAACCTCAACTCCTACCAAATTGTACTTTGTGGTGGAATGGTCCACCATGGTTGCGTCAGGAAGAGGAAAAATGGCCTAAATATGAATTAAAAGCTGAAGATGATACTGAAGTAAAGGCTGAACAAAGAGCTGACCTTATTTTTATTTCTCATATATATGAATCCAGTGATTTATTAGCTAATTTATTCGAACATTATTCTTCGCGTTGTAGAATTATTCATGCTCTGGCTTACTGCCAAAGATTTATTACTAATTGCAAGAAGCATCTTGTTACTTAAAACATTTCGGGTAGTGGTATTACCTCCAGCTGCCTTATGCCGCTAACATTTTTAGAGATTCGAGTAGCAGAAATGTTCATTATTCGTGGAATTCAGAATCATTATTTCGAAGATGATTTGCAATGTATTAAAGGAAGAGAAACCTTTACCCAAGAAGAGCCAAACTACGTTCTTTGTATCCATTCGTAGATAAAGATGGTCTCTTACGAGGTGGGAGGACGTCTTCGAAATTCATCTTTAGCATTTAACATCAAACATCCTATCATACTTCCTTCTCGACATAAATTTAGCGAATTACTAGTGAAAGAACTTCATATTACTTACCTTCATGCTGGTCCTTCTTTATTATCCCACACCTCATCAGGCATAATCTTACTGGATAATTGGAGGGAAAGAAACTGATACGCAGTTGTGTCAACCATTGCTTAATATGTCATCGATTTAAAGCTGCTTCAAATCCGCAATTGATGGGTGACTTACCTGAACATCGTGTGACTTTGGAACGACCTTTTTACGCATCTGGTGTGGATTACGCTGGTCCTATTACCATGAAATTTAATAAGGGTCGTGGTTCTAAAACAACGAAAGGCTATATAGCTCTGTTTGTTTGCTTGTCGACTAAAGCTGTGCATATAGAAGCAGTCAGTGACCTGACGGCAGACTCGTTTATCGCTGCACTTAGACGTTTCATTTCACGTCGCGGTGCACCACGGCACATTTACAGTGACAACGGTACCAATTTTTTGGAGCATGCCGAAAACTACAAGAACTAAATCAGATTTGGTCTTCCTTCTATGCAACGGAATCGGTTTCCCGAGAACTAACTAAGTCATCTATTGAATGGCATTTTATACCGCCTGCTTCGCCCCACTTCGGAGGAATATGGGAAGCCGGCATTCGCTCAGCGAAATTTCATCTGAGAAGAGTATTGAAAGAGACTCTTTTAACCTACGAAGAGTTGTCAACGCCACTTACCCAGATCGAGGCTATTTTGAATTCACGTCCACTTACTTACGTGAACGATACTGATATTGACTGTATTAATGTTCTAACCCCTTCTCATTTCATTACAGGTGATACTTTAACTTCCTTTCCAGAGACCCATCAGACTTTAAGCACCAGGAGTTCTAGGTGGGAACTTGTACAGAAGCTACGTCTGGGATTCTGGAAGCGATGGAAAAAGGAATACTTGACTTCGCTTCAGCAGAGATCCAAGTGGCAGTGCAACAGACCCAATCTAAAAATCGACACGGTGGTTCTTATCATCGAAGATGGATCTCCACCGCTAGCTTGGCCAATAGGACGGATCATCGATGTCCATCCGGGCAAGGACGGCTAAGCTCGCGTAGCCACTGTCAAAACTAAAACTGGTGTTTTAAAAAGAGGAATTAATAAACTTTCACCGTTGCCTGTGTATCAGGACTAAACCTGATAGGGTGGGAGTATGTTCACTTCCCCGCCTGTCGAATTAATTTCTACCTTTTCGTTGCCCTGCGTTGGCAACACGCTTTTGAGATTTGTCGTTCGTAGGATTCGGTCGCTAAAAGCGTAGCTGGCCTGTAACAGTTATAATTATTATTTTATGCTTATCTGTACGCCTGAATTATTACTAAATGTTTACGTGTGAATGTTTTATTATTAAATGTATTCAGTCTGGTTTAAATAGACGTGAGTGACGGAATTTATTAAGTATGTTTAAAGTCGAAACTGCGTCATCTATGTCTGCGCCATTCTAATACGAGGTACGTAAACAGTACCTTTCAGGCAATTAACCAAAAGAGTTCTTTTAATATGGATTTAATTTGATGGAACTCCAAAGATGAAAAATGGCTAACTCACGCAGCCAGGGAAAAGGACATCTTGGAAAGTGAGGACTCGGCCAGGACAGCCCAAAAGGGCGTCCTACCTCGGCGAACTCCAGCAGCAGAAGAGAGCGAGAAACCGGTTTCGTCCTTCAAACTCACCTCGTGGTCAGTGCCGGTTGCAGTTAGCATCTCATGTGGAGGCTTGCCTTCACAGTTAGGTCTGTGCTTTCAATTTGCAGTTAAAGGTGGTGTTAGGTGTTTCAGTTCTTTTTACCATAGAATGCATCGTTGTAGTAGTAATTTTCTGAAATTTCTCTTCCTTATATTCCATTTGCTGCAAGTTGTAAAAGAAGAGCGAGTATTTTATTTTTGTGCGGAAGACCATTATATTTACAGTGTAAGACAAAACCTAATTGCATTTAAACTTAGCTGTTTACATAGCTGTAACTCTTAAGCAATATTTTGTGAGATATTTTCTATCATGTAATGGTGTTGGCGCCTTTTTAAGGCCAACGAATCTCGCCAATTTATCGCCAACTACGATTGAGACAAGGAGAGTTAGAAAAGAAATCTAACCTGTCTGGCGTGAGCAATTACTTGTAACCGAAGCTCGCAATTAAATTGTATTTTGCGTCACTGTAAATATTTGTATACGACGTTTTTCTTAATAAAATGATTAAAAAATGAAGCAGTGAAACTGGTCGGTCGATAAAAATAACCTTTAAAGAATTAAGTTTATACTAATGGTTTTTGAAGCACGTTGCAATATCTTACAAATACTTCCTCAGTAATTTTGACAGTTATCATCTACCGGTTTTACATATTCACTTGGATTCATTGTCCTTGTTCTTAATTATTTGTCCTACATTTCCAGAAAAAATTTAAATGCAAATGCAGTAAATGAACTGTAAACCACATGCATTTTTTCTTCCCATACCTTTTCTTCCTGTGGCAATACATACATATTGTTACGAATTTCGAAGCCGGCGATAAGATAACTTCCCCGCAAAGCGAGTTCAGGATTGCCAGAAAATCGCAAGGAAATGCAGGGTAGCGCCAAATTTGGGCGCGAAATCGCCCTTATTCTCGACAAAATTGGGGATATGACATAGGCGAGTCGAGAACTTTCTAGAACGAAATTCTTACCGGTTTGCTCCATAATGTTCTCGAAGGCAGTTTAAAAGCTATACAAACCCTGCCGGTAAAAGGAGTAGCAGCGTATCGTCAAAGATGAGTTTATCGTGGAGAATATCGAGAGTACTTTCAATTTTTTTGAATTCCGTAAGCGACCGAACCTAGTCGGAAGCTGTAATTTAATACTCTGCCGTGAAGCCTTTCTTTACCGTTATAGCATGATAGCCCAAAGGGCTATGTTGCTGATTGTTTCAGCAATTGTGTTCATCGTAGTTTTTAAACGGCTGTAAACGTGTCTTTAGAAATCTTCTGTGTAATACTGATGAAGAAAATGTGTTTTGATTCTTCGTCAAGTGTGCTTCGTCGTTTATCTTACGATATATAGACTAAGATCATGTATTTAAAAAGAATATCTCATAGACCTACTTTAGAACAAATTGTAATTTTTAAACCACTTACATGAAACTATTGACAACTCGCATTGGTACTGATCTTCATTTCTAGTTCCTCTTTTTCTTATCAATCCGCCAAATATGTGATTTCCTTTTAGAGTTGCGCGCATGTTAAGTAAGTAAATATACTATATTTTATACCTTTAAATGATAGCATTATGTTCAAGAATAAGATGTTACGAACACATGCTTACAGTCTTCCTGAATTCACTTGTGCATTTGACGAGCAAAAAATGCTAATAGAAAATATCCTGTAGTCAGTCGCACTGCACATTTTTAGAAAAACGTTCTTTGCATAGAACAAAGAAAAGAACAAACGTAACATCTACACAATATTTAGTCTGTTTGGGAGAAGAAAATTGTTGAGCCTAAGCATTATTTACGAAATAAGCAAAGAGTAAACTGAGGTTGTTTTTATAACATTCATAAGCTGACTATTTAACGAATGACATGTAATAGCATATTATTTATACACCGATGAATATATATGTATGTTATTAAATCAAATGCGTAATATGTACTTTTCGGGTAAAAGTAAATTACTTTTGTTTATAAGCTAATAACATAAACACATTTATCAAAATTTATTTTTATAAATTCTTAAAAGTATAAGCTTTGCTTTTTTTTTTCTTTTTATATCATTTAAATCAGCAAAAAATTAAATGTAGCATTTAAATTTTGAACATTTTTAAACATTTAGCATTCAGATTTTGAACATTTTAAAAATTTGCGAAATGGTATGTAAATAATACGGATATCCAAACTTCCGGATAGCTGAAATTCTAATATTTAACATTTTGCAATCCTTTTTATGAATGTGTAAAGCGATATTGCATTGTTATGGATGGCGGATACCATATGGTTAGCAATATCTGCTGCGGGGTATGTAAAATAAAAACATACTACTTCTAATATAAAAAATATGCTTACTAATGACAGTTTTATTTCTGGCAGCTTTCCAAGTCCGGAAGTAATATTGTTTACCTGAGAAATGTCGCTCTGGATTCTGCTGGGACGTACAAATGTCAAGTTTCGACAGATGCCCCCACGTACAGCTGTGTACAAGCTGTGAAAGAAATGAATGTTGTCAGTAAGTATGAAAAATATGTTAACCTACAGATTTTTTTCCTTCCTTTTTTCTTCTTTTATTTCTTTAGCGATTTAATTTACCTTAAAACTGCCTAAAAAATCGTTTTGAATAGTTTTTGTTGATATCTAAGATTAAATACTTTATTCTAAAATAATACTCAGAATCTTGTGCAGGATTAGAGAAATGTACGAGATTATATAGTAAAATAAATGTGCGTATATTTCAGATTTGAAACTAAGCAAAATTCACATTTAGAATAACTCTAGTGTCATAGAAAACTGCTACTTTCTTTCGAGAATCAATAACACAGATTTTTGTTCTTCAAGATGCAAATACATTTATTCCTTTGGGGCAAAAGGAGCAGTCTATGGCAAAACGACTCTTTTAGCAAAACAAGCAATATTTGTCAAAAGGAACTGTCTGTCTTCCTCGAAATACATATTGTTACGAATTTTGTACATGGATAGATGATTTTAGTGCAATTATATGTGAAACTGTTGTATTTCTTTTGTGTAATGTAACATGGAAATCCAGAGAGACGAGCTATGCCGATAAAGTATATGATAATACAAGGCCAAATCTTTGCCTTCAATACAAGGCCATGTTACATTGACTAAACGCGCATCTCGGTAATTTGGCGAGAAATCGCCAAAGGTCACCAAATTTGGCGATCATTTTGGCGGCATTTTTGTCCAGTCCCTGTATTACTGTAATAGTAATGTAATTGATCGCTATATTAGCTGTAATTCTAATTCACCCCTCGTATTGCCTTCCAGTAATTTCGAGAAGCAGAAAGTATTAGAAATATCTTCGCGACTGGTTGAAAACTATATAAGAAGAGAATATCTGCTCTCAGTTGTTGTTGTTAACTCAGCGGCGTGAGTTCCGAGTACTGTCTCCGGTTTACCTTTGCTTTTTAGATGCGTTTTGCATCACATTGTGTTTCACGTCTTTGTAGTTTGAAATGTGACTACGGATTGTTCTCTGTGATACTATGGACACCTGCATGAGTACTTCTGGGTAACGTTCCAGAACTCTGAAGCGTTTCTTTTGATAAAATAAATTTTATCAACCTATCACCGGAGCTGTAAGCATTCAATCTATTAAGAAAACCTGTACGTACGCAAACGTATTATTATAAAAGCTCTCTGAATCTATATTTGAATTTTTTCAAATTCTAAATTTGAATTACCGTGCTTCGCCTCCATATACATTTTAGAATTGACCTACAAGTGTACAAATGTACATTTCTGGTAAATTGAAAGTTCTGAATCTTTTAATACGAGTTTAAGTAAAAAAAAAAAATTATTAAAATTTAGAATTAGTGATCAATACGAAAATAAATTATGAAAGGTAATATATCTTAATTAATGAATTAATTTATTCTTTTCCGAAGAGTTACTGGAATATTTTGATTTACGCAAAGTGCTTTCCTCCTTTTTGATTGAATAAAATCACTAAATGCTGTTAATTCACGCCGGTGTTCATTCTTGTGTTGAAAGAAGTAGGCTGTATCCTTACACATCGTGGCTGTCGTGGCTTTACATGTACGTATCATGACAGTGAGTTTTACCATATATATCGTGGTTTTACATACCATGACTATGGGAAAAAATCCTCAGAGAAGTCCTCGATCAAAGGAGTCCTTCCAGAAAGTTCTGTCAAATATTTCGGTGCAATAATTAATTCAATCTCCATTTAATCGCACTCAAAAATCTGTGCTTTCTCGCAAAACACTGAGTTACATCCCCCTCCCAAGTTTCTTTGCAATGCATGAACTAATAGTTGATATTAACGTTAATCTGTTTTCTTTTATAAACTTTCAAATTTTTATAAACTTCAAACTTTTTCCAATATAATATGTCCAAGGTAACTATGCTTGTGTTACTGTCTTTACTCAATGTTTAGAAAACGAACTGAAATCCTAATTTTGCGTACTGTGGTACTAATCAGTTTCGTTCTCCTTGTCAGCAAAGTACCACCACTTGGCTTCAAAGCTTACGTTTCTCTCATTTCTTTCTGCTTCAGCAATCAAGCGAACTATCAGTTCAGCAAATTGTATTTTCTTGAATATATTTGAGAATTTTTCAGCTAATACCTCTTAACTTAAAATGTAGATAAGAAAGTCATTCTAGGGGTAATACGAATTCTGTAATGGTAATTTTCTAGCATATTAAATAATTTCTACATTGGATCCATAAATATAATCTCTTTTCCATAATTGGATTATTTATTGAATAGAACTCAATATTCTTAGTAGGATTTTTTCTGCGTTGCTTTGCCCAGATTCACAAGTTTCACAAGCCCATATTCAATTCATTCCATTTAATTACAAAAAATTTCTCCTACATTTTTACGCTTAATATTCTAATACAGACCCACACATGGCCTTTTAATAAGGACTTAATTCATAAATTTCGAATTTAAAAAGAAAAGCAAACACCATGCTTTTTACAAATAGTAAAACTGAAGCGCTGATGGGCCTTAGGGAAAAGCCTTATTTTATAGGCGCCCCAATGAACCCAACCCATTCTGCCTTTTTAGGTAGTAAATATAAGAATACAAGAAATGTAGATAAGAAAGTCATTCTAGGGGGAACACGAAAAATCATCTGCAGTTAAAACAAAAGGGAGAAAATACTACTATTCAAAAAAAAGCAATGCAAAGACAAGTAACTCCCTAATGAGAAACGTTGCCTAGCCATAAATCACTCTGTGGTGGACCCAAGTACAGAAAAAAAAATTCTATTTTTTTTCCGTAAGGCCTTCCTTTCCAACCCAAAGCGGAGATTAATGGGACTAACTTTTTCATTTGGCTACCATTATTTGCAAACATCAGTTGTTTCGGTGTGCCTACACAGCAAAAGATGGAAATGAGTACCAAGCCTTGCTGTGAAGGCATTTCGTTTTAGCTGATACAGGCATCTAAAAATAGAGTAACCGAAGGTTGAGTAAGATTTATAAAGTTACAACGGTTAATGCAGTTAAAAAGGCCTCCGAAGTATTAATTAACTTTTAAAAAACATTAGCTGTATTTTGCGTCTTACAATGAGAGGTTTCCACCCTTCAGTTCATAAACCCGCCACCGACCAAAGAGCTTTTGAAATATTATTCACCAAATATACTGTCGAGTATGGACTATCAAGTGTGGTTTCAATGGATATGTTTCCAAAATACTCACAAGCGTATCTTGAGAAAGACCCACTTTGGAGAAAGATAAGAAGAATGGAAATGCCACTTTGGAAAAGGAAAATAAGGGAAAAAATTAAATCTTTTTTTTTAATCTAATGGCAGGCACTTGCCCATTCGATATTGGCCAATCCTAAGGCCAGACGTGCTGGCCATTTTATTGTGGAGGCGCTTAAAAGGTGGTCATCGTTGCTTCCTATGAAGGGACAGACAGTTACAACCATGCCTTCATCGGGATTCGAACTGATCCCTTGGGTACAGCAGTCGGCTCCCTTAACCACTGTACCGTCTGGTCGAGTAAAATTAAAATCTGAGAAGCAGAACTGGTAGCATATAAAAAAATATCTCAATGCTGCTTCACTGTGCCTTGAAACGTCTGAAAAAGAGAACCCAAGCATTTCGTACTGCAACCAGGATTAAGTATTATAGTTTACTGACGGATAAAATAAACAAATTATGTACCTAAGTATTTCACGTAAATGAAAACCAGGAAGCTTCCCCAACTTTTCATACCACCACAACTGTCAAACGCCTAAGAAATACAGCAAGAAAGAAAAGAACTGACCTTCATTGTTGTATTATTTCGTAGTTGAGAGCAAAGTATTATTCAGATAATTGACCAAGAAAACGAGATCAATGATTTCTAGTTAAACTTTAATGCAAGTAAATATTGATTACAGAGAAAACTACAATAGTTGTAAATAAAAATACCATCAATTAATAAAGTTAGAGCTATGTTCTGAAATTAAACTTTGCCCAGAAACCATCACTGGTTTCTGCTTAAGGAAGATTAAATTAAGCGTTATATCTTCATTGTAGAACTCCTCTTATGCGCTTTCTAGTATCATAACCTCAGAAATGCAAACAAGTTGCGAATGGTCCATTTTTCATTTGCTTCAACCATCTCAAGAATTCATCTATCAACATTTCCGCAGCACCCGATCCTATTTACATAAAACTCATTTAATGTCTCAAGGACCTTCTACAACTTTCTTCTCTTCGCCGAAGATAGATGAAGAATATTCGACTGCTTTCCAGAAAGTTATTAATTTTTAAAGGCCATTTATCCGCGTCTTTGCCTTATATGTTCAAATGTTGAGGGAGAAAGCAACCACCGGTTAAACTTCGGTCTTAATTTCTGGTTACAGCTACAAAATTTATATATGTGGTGGTTTAAAGAATTCGTGTATGAAGGAGATGTTAATATGCAGATTTAATGGTTTTCTATTATCGTATTGTTATTCTGTTATTATAGTTCAAACAAATGTATCCGCGGTAAAAGTAAATAATTTATAAATTCTGAAATCATGAAAACTCAGTTCCGAAAACAGCATATAAAGCATGTAAATATTTCAAATGTGCAGTTTGTAATTGAAATATTATCGTGAAATTGAAAATCATATTTCGAATTTATAAATTCCTTAAATTTTTACTTTATATTGGATATGCTTTAAATTTCGGATGTTAAAAATTGAGATCGCGTGTGAATAAAGAAAAAAATGTATAAGTCCACAGAATACCAGTGGTAAGCAATATTCTATGGGCACATTTTGAATGTAACAAGTTCAGTTTTAATGTTGAACTAAAAACTAAACTAAAAACCGATAATATTTTCCTGCTTTTAAAATTTTAAAGTAAGATTGTGTTATCGTTTTCAAAATTAGTAATTTCGTTTGAAGAACAACTATAAATTTTACTTGAATTATAGAAAAAAACATTCGGCATAGAAGAAATTAAGGGAAGAAAATGGCGAAATGTAAAAATGAAAGAAATTTTACTAATGTACAAAAAGTGAAAAAAAATCTTCCCTAT